GAGAGAGGATACAAATTATGAACAACAAATACACATCTATCAACAAGAGAATCTGAAAATCAAGTTGAGAATCTGATAAACAGAATGAACTGGTGATTATAATAAAATCAGGGGCATAGAATGGGAATGGACTGGCTATTCTTGGGGAGTAAAGGGGTGAGGGAGATGCGGGAAGAGACTGGACAAAAATCGTGCACCTATGGATGAGGACAGTGGGTGGGGAGTGAGGGCGGGGGGGGGGGCGGGAACTGGGGGGAGGGGAGTCATGGGGGGAAAAAAGAGGAACAAATGTAATAATCTGAACAATAAAGATTTAATTTAAAAAAAAACTAGTAACAGTATTTGCCTCTAGGAACAGGGGTGTTGGTGTCTGGGGACATAGGTAGAAGGAAAATGTCCCTTTATGCACTTTTGAATTATATAATTTGTTACATGTGAGTGAACTAACTAATTAAACATTTTATTTATTTATTTAAAATATATTTTATTGATTTTCCACAGAGAGGAAGGGAGAGAGACATAGAGTTAGAAACATCGATCAGCCGCCTCCTGCACATCTCCTACTGGGGATGTGCCTGCAACCCAGCCACATGCCCTTGACCGGAATCGAACCCGGGACCCTTTAGTCCACAGGCCGACGCTCCATCCACTGAGCCAAACCATCTTTGGCTAATTAAACATTTTAAATAACGTGATAAAAATAGCAGCACCTTCTGTGCTTTGGAAACATCCACAGCTGGCTCACTGACCAGAGCCTGTCTGTGCCCAAACGCTCATGCCCTCAGAAAGGGTATGACTGTGGCGTGGAACTCAGGCCACATCAAACTACAGAAAATCCTTAGGTTTTCGGTTTGCGGAGCTGGGGAAGCCCCAGGGGCCAGCATGGCCGAGGCCGAGGGAGAAATGCAAGTTCAGATAAGCATCCGGAAGAGCCGCTCCCTGTGGACCCAGGCGGCCTCCCCGTGCTGGTCCTGACTGTGCTGGGCCGGCTCAGGGGGAAAGGCCAGCTCTGCTGCCAGCCTCTTTCCCCAGCGCGGCCCATGCTCAGAGCGGGGAGGCCAGTATCCCCTCCACAGGACGGGCTGGGGAGCAGGGCCTGGGGACACAGCCGCTCATGAGTGGGCAGTGCAGCTTGCCCTTTGAAGCAGAGCCTTTGAAGCTTCTGCCAGGAAGAGGCTTTTGCTGCCCTTACCTGGCTCTCATCTTTTCCCCGGCCTTCGGAACTCAAGAGAACCTGGGGGCAAACTTCAGTCCTGCATGGGGGAGGGCTGAGAGGCCAGGGCAGTGAACCCCTTATCCCAGTGCACAGCGCCTCCCACTGGCCCCAGCTGGGCTGTGGGCAGAACACAGGACAGACACCCTCCCACCCCCTGGTGCACAGACAATACAGGTTCTGCCCCCGCCATGGACTCCCAGCACCCCCCCTGGAGTTCCCCACGGCAGTTCTTCAGTGTCCAGGAGCTCTGCCCAGAGAAACATAGCCAATTCCACACCTTGTCCAATGTGCAATATAGGAAAACTGAAACAGTTAACATTTCTCTAAATATGCACATACTATTCCTACAATAAATAAATTGAAATTTTATAATTTTTAATAAAGTAGATTTCCCTGAACATTTAAGTTTTAAATGTAATCAATTACACTCTTCCTAATTCTAATGATTCTGTCTCACAAATGTTTCAAACACCTTTAAAAATTGACAGATAGGAATGTGATCATCACAAAAGCAGATCTGCATACTCGTAGTAAAACTGGCTACAAATGCTAATCCGTGGACCTCAGTTTGTTTCTTTATAATTTGCAGTCAGCAGCCCTGGCAGCAGGACGGATAGACATTCTGTACCCATATGCCACGCATGACTGCCCTCTCCTGGGGATCTGAGCACAGGCCATGCTACATCTCTTATCAGGGGCGCCTCTGCAGAGCTCTGTCCCACAAATCCTCCGTCCTAGGAACCGCGACTGGACCCGGGAGGGTCCTGGCCTCTAAGTCAGGATCTCATGGGCTAGCCAGGCACCTGCCCCAGAAGGGATGTGGATGGTGACAGCTGACCAGAGTAATCAGCAACTCTTGGGGCACCTAAATGTGCTCGCAGAGAGGGGTTAGGGCAGAAGCCAGTGACTCACAGAGGAGGCCAGGCAGGAGCCCTCCCCCATGCAGGACTGAAGTTTGCCCCCAGGTTCTCTTGAGTTCTGAAGGCCGGGGAAGAGATGAGAGCCAGGTAAGGGCAGCAAAAGCCTCTTCCTGGCAGAAGCTTCAAAGGCTCTGCTTCAAAGGGCAAGCTGCATTGCCTGCTCAGGAGTGGCTGTGTTCCCAGGCCCTGCTCCCCAGCCCGTCCTGTGGAGGGGGTACTGGCCTCCTCCCTCTGTGGGGGACCAGTGGGCCGGAAGCAGCTGGAACAGTAGAAACAAAGGGAGACACCAGTGTTGTCATTAGCTAGTGATCAATATTAGTCAAGGGGAGAGAGCAGAGAGTCAGGCATGGTTAAGCATATTCAGCTGGGGAGCATAAGCCTGTTTCACAGCTTCACGCCCAGCGACGCAGCATTGTCCTCCAAGGGGATTAACACCCCTCCCCCATCAGTACTGGATTGTTGGGGTGAGAAGGGGGAGATAGGCACATGCGCAGTTGAAGTCAGGATGGCACAGGGGAGGTGCTTGCCTGTCAGTCTAGCCTGGGGAACAACGGATTGGCTAGGGGGTGGACCCCACCAGAAGCGTGCAAAATCTTGGAAAGTTCATTGGTTAGTTAGGAGCAGCTCCTGGTAAAATCCCCAGACAGAATTCCCTGGCTTCTTCCTCTCCCTTGCTGCAAGACCCACACTCGTCCTTGCAATCACACATTCTCTCTCCACAACCATATGGCCTTAGCAGCCACAGGGCCCACGGCTGTGAAGATGCCACAGGCAGGATGCTGGACTGGCCTGGGCTTTAATATGGAGCAGCAACTACGGGCGGTGGCCTTTACTCTGGCCCTGCTGAAGACACGGTCAGACTTTTACATGACAGGATGGAGGGAAATGGGACAAATGGAAACCAGGAGTTTATTTTCATTCGAATAAATATCACTTATCCTCCAGTTCGAGTCTCAGGAAATTCTTTTCCTTGTGACATTGCAAGAACTCCACTTCCACCAATAACATGGGGAGCCGGTGACGTGGGGACACCTCCAGGTGTCTTCCCCTGAAGGGTTTGGCTGAGGGACTAGGCTGGGTGGTTTTTACTTCCCTGCGTGCCCTCACACAGGCAGAAGAGGTTGTAAGAGGAAGTGATGGCATGTGTGGAGGCCAAGGCATAGGAAACAGAAGCTGATCCAGAGATGTGTGAGCAGGAAGTGGGGGAAGCAGGATGGGGTGAGAGGAGAAATTGAACTGTCAGGCCATTTCAAGGGAGGTTTCAACTGACGCCACCAGGCGCCTGGAGCTGGGATCACTCACCAGTTGTCCAGAAACGAGGACAGGGGCTTTGGTGAGCCTTGGGCAAGGCAATTCCCTCCTGAGCTATCAAATTCCAACACCTGGTCTTGAAAGGTGGTCCTATGCTAGGAGGTGACAGGCTGAGTCACCAAATATGGGGGGGGAGGGGCCTGAAAGGTTAACCTGGTGGTTGGCATGTGCAGGCGGCTAAATGTATTTAAGGGGAGAGGATGGGGGAGAGGATACCCAAAGGGAAGGGGACATTGGGTCGACGCTGGCAGCAGCCAGGAGCTGAGTTTCCTCCTTGTATGCAGTCTCTAGCGGGAAGCTGTTGTTGTGAATGGATTCGGGGCCGAGTCCTTGGGCTTGTAATGTGGGCGGAAGGCAGGGTGCAATCTGGTGCCCTCAGGACAGTTTCAATGCCTTGTGTGGTCCGACTCCTGGTGTCCAGCAAGTTTTTCTTGGTCTTTCATTCTCCTGTGGTGGGAAGCTTACAAAGGGCCTAGGGTTAGAGATGTGGGTAGTGACCACTGTAGACTAGGCATGTGCCAGCCTACTAGTCTGCCAGCCTCTGTAGACTATCCAGTGAAATGAACTTCTAATAGTTTGGGGCAGGGGGACGATGGGATCAGATTTTCATTCTAGGCTGGGGCTGGAACTCTGGAGAGAGAGCAAGTCCCGTGATAATCATGAGGTGTGGCCAGTAGCCAGACGATACCTAAGGGCACAGGAGTGGCTGAGACCTCAGAGGGCTCGCAGAGATGGTGTTGGGGTGTTTGTGCGTGTAAGGGGGCCTCAGTGCTGAGAGGGACTAAAGTTTCACCACCCCCAAAATATGCTTCTGGCGTATTGATTTTAAACTGGTTATTTTTAAGAAATAAAAGACTCAGAAATAACCTTTGACCCTCCCCTTTACTTGCCTAAAGGAATCCAGGTAGAAAAACCTGCTTAAATGAAGGGTGAATCAACTTATCATCAAAATATAAAGTAAATGTTATGTTACTTTGCCACAAATTCCCACGGTAAACAAATTTTGCTCTTCATTATCTTCCTGTAAATTGCTGGCTTTCCCTTTAAAATCCTAGGCCCCTGCTCCACTCTCCTCTGTCCAGAATGGCAGATAAGCCTCAATTGCCCCAGGCATCCTTGGGTCTCTTATTATGACCCTCCTGCAGGTGCATCCATAATAAAATTTGGATGTTTTCTCCCGTTAATGATCATGTGAACTTGAATAGCTTAGAAAGGTGGGAGAAAAATCAGTGTTTTCACCCCACAATGCAGAGTCTTGGAAGTGCAGCAACGCTTTCAGGGGGACGAGATCAGGATACTCAAAGGTCAGGGTACTCAGAGGAGTTGGGTTTGCAATACGGGGTCCTCCCTGAGGGGGTAAGTGGAGGAGGAGAGACAAGAGAACATGAGCTCCAGGGAGGAAGGAGAGATAACTCACTCAGCCTTCTATCCCCTAGGTGGCACTGTGCGCATGCGGTGGCAGCAGCCCAGCGAAGCTTCCGGAGAATCTTCAGCCAGGTTCTCCCAAGGAACCAGCTAAAAGTCCGGAGCTGTAAGAACAGGGAGGGGCACCTGTGATGCCTGCAGCACACCAGTGCTCTGCTCAGCTTCAGGTACCTCGCTCCCCCCGTCCTGGGTCGGGGTGGGGTGGGTCCTATCTGGGTCCCTCCTGGCAGGGCCTGAGTATAGAGGTCCCGGGGACTTAGCTGATCCCCAAATCATGATTCCCCAAGGCACTTTCATGTGACAAATGGAGACAAATAGAAGACTCAGGTCTGGACATAGAACTGATAGTTCTAGTTCTACCACTTACAGACTGAGTGACTGCCTCTGAGCTCCTTTTCACATTTATTTTACAAATTCAGAGCTTTGGGAAGGTCAGTTCACATGAGATTATTCCAGAAGAAACAGTTTTTATCTTGTCAAGTGACTTTCGCATGTGTGCATATCCCTAGCTCCCTGAGTGGACATAGCTTTCGGGGGCAGAGCTAGGGTTGAGCCCAGCAGTCTGAGTCAGGGATCCCTGCTCTTAACCTCTCTGATTGGCTCCCTCCTGCTGAGGTCTTATCGGGCCACGTTTGAGACTTCCTTCTTTGGCAGAACCATCTTCTCCCATTTGGAGTAATGACAGTATGGTTGACTCACAGACCATCAGGGCTGGAAGGTCCAACCTTCTCCTCTCCCACCCGTGGTTTATGGATGGGACAACTGAGGCGAGAGAGATGATGGGACTCCTTGTCACCACCATCTGTTATCATGTTAAAATGTGCTCCACTGTGTCTTGGGCTCACACATATCTATGCTCCTATCACAGATCTTTACAGTCTTGTAGGGACCATGGTCTGAGGACAGAAGGCTCATGGCTGAAGATGCAAATGGGAGCAAGAGGCCCTTGGAAGTTTGCAGAGTCTTTAAAATAGACTGTTCTGGGACAAATAGGGCAGGCATTGGGCGGCAGACTATAAAAATCAATTTTTTTCTGTTCACTTTTCCCCAGGGCTCTCTGACCTCTTTCTCAAAACAGGCAACATTAATGCAAAGCCGACCTTGGAGTGAAAGGTCTACCAAAGACATTGCCGTCTGGCCCCCTGTCATTGCCTGCACTCCATACACTCCTGGGGTGACCCATTCTCACACTGGCCTCTTGGTCCTGATCCCTCACCTCAAGGGCCAGTGATCCCATCATTCCATCCCAACCACCCACTCCCATGGATACCGACCTCTGTCTGACCACAGCTATCTTCTACAGTCACCGAGGGACCCCCAGCCTACCCTCATCGCCTTTCTCCCACCTACTGGCCCCTCCAGCTGTCACTTCTCTTTCTTACCAGCCAAGACTCTTGATGCAACAACTCAAGTGCTTTCTTTCCAATACTCTTGAGTCCTCTGTCCCACTGTTTTTCTATCAAGCCTTCCTGGTAAAACCCCAAACTCTGGTCAATCTTACTGTGTTCTCTGCATCTGTACTTAGCCCAGCTGCCAAGTACTGATGAAGGGTCTCCAGTCTCAGCTGGGCTCTCAATCCTTCCTCAAACCCTCCTGCGTGGCCCGACTTAGAAGCTCCTCTCATTTTCTCCTAAGTTTCTCTGAAATCCTTGGATCTCACCAAAATCCCACTTATATTTTCCCTGGAAACCTGTTTCCAGAAGAAATGGAAGCCTTCATTCAGAAACTCACACCAAACTCACAAACATCTGCATCCTCAGGAATTTTTCCTCCTTCTGTCTCCACCTGTCCTCCTTTGGCTGCCCTCTCGGTTCTGAAGCCCAATCTTCCCACCTTCTCCAGCAAACATCATCTCGCTTTTCCTCCAGACCCTTCAATCTCCCACTTTCTACTGCTGTCCCCCTTCATCATTTAAACATATTCACATCTCTCCTTTCTTCAAAAAGTTCTCTCCCTCAGCCTGTTACCCTCATCATCTTCCAGCTAACAACCTGTCTCGTCTTCATTTATTCTCCAGCACACTGTTAAATGGCTTTGATCAAACAATTCCAATGAGTCAGTTCAATGAGTCAGTTCGTGGGAGCTGCCAAACCCAACAGTCATTCTTCAGCCTTATCTTGTGGGCTCACCCTGTAGCACTGAAAGGTTAGGACCACTGCTTCCTTCTTCAGACATTCGTTTCCCTTGACCTCTATACACACCACCCTTCTGGCTCCCTTCCTACCTCGTGACCCCTCTTTCTCAGTCTCCTTGGTCCCTCCCCTCTCTCCCTTCCTGATCCTCCCTGATTTTGTGTTCTTCAGGATTCTGCCTCAGTCCTTTTCCCTTCTCACCTCCTAGTCCCTGAATAATTTCCTCTACTCCCATGATTTTAATTATCATCCATGTGCTGCTTTCTCAATATCCACTATCCTCTTCTTCCTTCAACACAGGCTCAAGGTCCTAATTTGTTAAAATTGCATTTCCTGCCCTAGCTGGTTTGGCTCAGTGGATAGAGTGTTGGCCTGCAGAATGAAGGGTTCCGGGTTCAATTCCGGCCAAGGGCACATGCCCGGGTTGCGGGCTCGATCCCCTATAGGGGGCATGGGGGAGGCAGCCAATCAATGATTCCCTCTCATCATTGACGTTTCTCTCTCCCTCTCCCTTCTTCTCTGAAATCAATAAAAAGACATTACAAAAAAAATTGCAGTTCGCAGCCTCCCTTGGATCTAAGGCTTGCCTTGTGACCAGACTTGACAATGGGGCATGAGTAGCCAGTCTGTGGGGATATCTGGGAAAGTGTTGCTTTCCACTAACAGGTGCTGCTCCTTCATCCTTTTTTGCATGTTCTGTCCGTCTGGAATGCAGGTGGGAAGCTGGAGCTGGAGCAGCCATTGGATTACTACAAGCTGATCTGAGGACGAACGCTTCCCAGTGAGGACACCCAGAGCAGACCTACACAATGGACAGGGACTAAATGACATGGTGGAGCTACTGAGCAGCCCTGCTCTGTTTACCTTTATTATTATTTTTTATTTATTTTAAAAAATCTTTATTGCTGAAAGTATTACGTAGGTCCTGCTTTTCTCCCCATTAACTTCTTCCAGCCAGCTCCCGTTCCCCCCACCCAGGTCCTCACTATCCCATTATCCGTGTCCATGGGTTATGCATATATGCATACAAGTTCATTGGTTGATCTCTTCCCACTCACCTTCCCCTCTGAGGTTCAACAGTCTGTTCATGCTTCTGTGTTTCTGGGTCTATTTTTTTTAAAAATGTTTCCATTGAGTTTTTTTTGAGAGAGAGAGTATGTGCCCTGACCAGGAATCGAATCTGTGACCTTTTGGTGCAAAGGACAACAATCAACCAACTGAGCCACACAGGCCAGGGTTCTGGGTCTATTTTTGATAATCAGTTTATTTGGTTCATTAGATTCCACATATGAGTGAGATCATGTGATACTTATCTTTCTCTGACTGGCTTATTTTGCTCAGAATACTCTCCAGGTCCATCTATGCTGTTGCAAATGGTAAGAATTCTTTCTTTTTTATTGCCACGGAGTATTCCATTGTGTAAATGTACCACGGTTTTTTTCATCATTCATCTGCTGATGGGCACTTAGGCTGTTTCCAAATCTTAGCTATGGTGAATTGTGCTGCTGTGAACATAGGGGTGCATGTAACCTTTCTTTTTTTTAAAATATATTTTATTGATTTTTTACAGAGAGAAGGGAGAGGGATAGAGAGCTAGAAACATCGATGAGAGAGAAACATCGATTAGCTGCCTCCTGCAAACTCCCCACTGGGGATGTGCCTGCAACCAAGGTACATGCCCTTGACCGGAATCGAACCTGGGACCCTTGAGTCCGCAGACCCATGCTCTATCCACTGAGCCAAACCGGTTAGGGCACATGTAACCTTTCTGATTAGTGGTTTTAGTTTCTTAGGATATATTCCTAGAAGTTGGATCACTGGGTCAAATGGCAGTTCCATTTTTAATTTTTTAAGGAAATTCCATACTGTTTTCCACAGTGGCTGCACCAGTCTGCATTCCTACCAGCAGTGTAACTGGGGTTCCCTTTTCTCCACATCCTCACCAGCACCTGTGTTTGTTGCGTTGTTGATGACAGCCATTCTGACAGGTGTGAGGTGATATCTCATTGTTGTTTTGATCTGCATCATTCTTACCTTTAGACTTTTTGTTTTGTCAGAGTTTTTCAATAGCAGCAGAAAACAGCAACAAAAACCATTTGGCTAGAGGCAATGTAGTTGGGTTGCTGTTATAGGAGTTGAACACAAATCTCAAATTTATAGCTTTTGCTTAGATGTCTTTCCTGAACTCCCTCCTCTGTTCAAGGACACTTCAAATGGAAGAAGTCCAAGCCGTCACACCTCACCAAACACACACACACACACACACACACACACACACACACACACACACACGGTCACTTGGATTCCTTGTCCCCATGAACAGTATCACTGTCTATGCAGCCAGACGATGATGTCTCCTTATTTCTCATCTTCCTATTCAATTAGTCACCTCCCAATTCTACCTCCTAAATGTTTTTTTAATCTGTTCACCTCTTTCCATTCCCTCATCATCAACTTCCCGAATCATTGCAACTTCCTTCCTAACTATTCTTTACTCCAATCTTGTTCCCTCCAGTCCTAAAGCACAAACGGAACAATTTACTAGTCTGCTTAAACCCTTTCAGTGACTGCTCAGGGCTTAAGGAATAGCAGGCATACATAGATAAGTCTCTGTGAAGAATTATGTTGCTCCTACACATCCAACTATTTTCTTTGGCATAGGTGTTGCCCTATGTGTCCCAGACCTGGTCCAGCTATGGAATCCTCTCTCCACCACAGTGATTGGTGCAGGAGTGGGCATATGACTGGAGTTAGACCAATCAGAGTCCTTTCTTGGAAGTTAGAGGATAGAGTTATTCAGTCCCATATCCTACATGGGGCAAACTTGGAGTGTTAGGAGAGACAGAGGGAGGGGCTCCTGGTCTGGGTAACCTGTATGATCAGCCACCCAGTTTCCTGAGTCACTCTGGTTCCAAGTTCTTTTGATTCTGTGAGTGACATAAGTATCCTTCCAGCAATCTCCCCTCCTTTGGCCTAAGCGAGTTAGAGTGGGATTTTCTTACTTGCAATTCAAATACTCTGACTGATGGGAAGATCCTGGGTAGTTTGGCCCTAATAAGGCATCAATCCCAGATAACAAATAGAGTTCCTTACAGCTTACCTGATGTTTTATAAACATTCTTTCATTTGATTCTTACTAGAAGTTTGTGAGGTGGGTTTTACTCTTTATCTTGACTTTATAGGTAAGACAACTAGGGCTCAAAGATGTAAAGTGTTAAGATTAAGAGGCTGAGAATTAGGAGAGGGTAAACAGCAAGTCCTTCTAATCAAGCCCTCCTCCCCCCCCCCCCCCCGATCCCCAACCTTGGCCAGAGGTGCTGCAGAGTGGAGCCCAGGAGGAGTAAGAGCAGCACTGGCTAAGGGACCAGACCAGGACCAGGACAGAGGGGAAGGAGGAAGTCAGAGGAAGATAGCCAAGCTCCTCCATTTAAAATTTTATTTATAGTTCTGCTGGAATGGCTCAGTGGTTGAGCATCGACCTATGAACCAGGAGGTCACCGTTCAATCCAGGTCAGGACACATGCCCAGGTTGCGGGCTCGATCCCCAGTGTTGGATGTGCAGGAGGCAGCTGATCAATGATTCTTATCATTGATGTTTCTATCTCTCTCTCCCTCTCCCTTCCTCTCTGCAATCAATAAAAATATATTACAAAATAAATTAAAAAGATAAAATTTTATTTATAGCCAACTCCAGGTCCAGGAAAAATGAAAGAAACTCTCAGTTTCTTTCTTTTCCTCCTTCCTGTGCTGTTTTTTGTTCTCATAATCCACACCTTGGGCTTGCAATCTGCACTACAATCAGCTACATCCTTGTCAATTACAGTTCTAGGGGCTAGCCTGGAAACTAGTCACTGCAATATAGCCCTTCTAGTTGGGGCTGTCCATAGCTCACTCCTCTTCCATTTTTAATAAAGGAAAATAAAATGGACCTGCTCTGCTTTGAATATCCCTGATGCTCTCTGAAGTCTCCCCTCCCCCTCCGTGCTGTAAAAATGGGTCAGGTACAGCTTAGTGGGTCGCATATGGCAGCTGGGAATGGGAGGCAGGTGTCACAGTGACTGTGAAGTGAGGCCTGATTGGGAGTGGGGTGGAGGCCATGCTGGCTTTCTGGGCATTTCCCGCACCCTCTTCATGCCTGTGGCAGTACGGCCACCTGATCCAGAATGGAGCTCTCTCAGGCTGGCAAGACCTCCAACATCACCTAGTTCGTGATTCACAAAATTGCTTCCCCCTCTCCTTCCTTGTTCTAAGCCAGTGGTTCTCAACCTTCTGGCCCTTTAAATACAGGTCCTCATGTTGTGACCCAACCATAAAATTATTTTCGTTGCTACTTCATAACTGTCATGTTGCTACTGTTATGAATCGTAATGTAAATATCTGATATGCAGGATGGTATTAGGCGACCCCTGTGAAAGGGTCGTTTGGCTGCCAAAGGGGTCACGACCCACAGGTTGAGAACCGCTGTTCTAAGCTCGCGCCTCCTTCATATCCAGGAGTCAGTAGAAATCATCAGGTGTGAATGATCATCTTTCCAACCCCAACCTTTACTACAGACAGCTCTGCCTCCATCCTCCCTTCCTTAATAATGGTGGAGGTACCTCTCCATCACAGGTGTCCTCTCCCTTAGTGCTCACACCTCATCTCCTTTCTCCCTTTCTTCAGAATCATCACTCCTGCCTTCTCTCCTATCCCTCTGCAAACCTGACCTAGTAATCTCCACTTTTAATAAAACCCTTTGTATTCTAACAAAAATAAGCATCAGAAAACAAAGGATTAAACAAGACATAAATTTCTTTTATATACAAAGTCAAGAGGTAGGTAGCCCAGAGGAGGTAGGCTGATTCCCTACCCACAAGGAACCAGATATAGACTAACTAGTTCCACGGACATCCTCAACCATGGCTTCCATTCAAAGTCTAATGCGGCCACCTGAGCCGCAGTTACATACTTAATATTCCAGTGAGCAGGAAAGAGCAATGGCTGAAGAAAACACACCATTGCCCTTTCAAGCCAGTTCTCAGAAGTTGCACTTGGACACATCCACTTACCTCCTGTTGGCTGGAAATGAGCTATAGGACCATACCTAGTTGCAAAGGAGTCCGAGAAACTTGCTTTTATTCTGGGAAGACATGTGGCCAGCTAGAATTTGAAATTCTAGGCTGAAGGAAAAGAGGGTGAATGGCTATTAGGGTCATTTAGCAATTTCTGCCAAACCCTTCTGATTCCATATCCTTTTCTAGAACCCTCCGTTCCCTGTTAGACATGCGGCTCTTTGGCCCCTTGCGTGTGGCTCTTCCACAAAATACCACATGTGGGCGCACACATACAGTGCGATTGAAACTTCGTGGCCACACTCAAAGGGCCAAAGAGCCGCATGTGGCTCGAGAGCCGCAGTTCGCCGGCCACTGCCCTAGGTGATCTCAGATCCTATGGCTTTCATTGTCTAAGATGATGCCTCCCAAAGTCTCACCTCCAGCCCAGGCATCTCTTCTGAGCTTCCAGCGACTGGACAATCAAATAGGTTCTCTGACAGGCACCTCAAACTCAACAGAGCAAAAACAGAATTCTTTTTTTTAAATATATTTTTTATTGATTTTTTACAGAGAGGAAGGGAGAGAGATAGAGAGCTAGAAACACCGATGAGAGAGAAACATCAATCAGCTGCCTTCTGCACATCTCCCACTGGGGATGTGCCCGCAACCCAGGTACATGCCCTTGACCGGAATCGAGCCCGGGATCCTTCAGTCCGCAGGCCGACGCTCTATCCACTGAGCCAAACCGGTTTCGGCAAAAAACAGAATTCTTAATGTTCCTCTCTGAGATGTAGTCTCTTTCCTTGAGGCTACCCCATCCAACAAATGAGGCACTGTCCATTCATTTATTACAGCCAGAAACTTGGAAGTTATCTTTGGTTTTCCCATCACCCCTCTTCCCCAATCGCCCCCACATTCATCCTATCAACGTGTCCTGTCAAGTCTATGTCTAAAACAGCATCTCTCAACTAATCATCATAGTGTGGCCACCACTTCAGTCCAAACCACTATCATCTTTGGCCTGGAAGGCCACAACAATCTGCCTCCTTCCTTTTATTTCAGCTTGCCACCCACCCAATTTACTCTTCACACAGCGGTAATCGTTAGTCTCTGTGTGGTCTCTTCAATGGTTTAATGACAAGTCTCCATTCCTTGACACAGTCTTGTATGCCCTGGCCCCTGCCTGCCTCCCCACATCACCCTGATTCTATTTCCTAGGCTGGCTATTCTAGTTACATTGACTTTCCTTCAGCTCCTCACACATCCAAAGCTTACCTTTTTCCGGGCCTCAGCACACACTGACCTCTACCTGCAATGTCTCTGCCGGCTTTTCCCAAGGCTCTCTCCTCATCCTTTTGACTTCAAATTCAGCATCACCTCCTCAAAGAAACTTTCCCCGGCAGCTCCGTCTAAAGTACTAGTAGCTCTTATTCTCTCTCCCAGCCCCTTGCTTTGGCCCCAGCATTTACTTCAATTTGCAATTATTTGTCTTTCCTACTAACAATAAGCTTTATGGAGCAAGAGGCCTCAGTAGTCTTGTTTATTGCTGTATTCCCCATCATCAAAACAGGCCTGGCCCAGATCAGGCACGCAATCTAGCACTCATTGTCTGCTGACATGAGTGAGTGGATAGGTTCCCCAAGGGGGGGGGGGGGTCCCTGAGCTATGTAGGATGTCACAGACAGGGTGCAGCCTTAATAATAATAATCTATGATAATCATAATAATCTATAATAAACTAGTCTATAATAAACGCATAATATGCTAATTAGACCAGACGTCCTTCTGGAGGAAGCTTCTGCAAAGCATCAATACTTTGGCTCCTCTGTTCACAGAAAGATAAATGTAATTTATCAAAAAGGTTCAAAATTAGCTGGAAAAATAAAATAAAAACCTGTTCCATCTATAATAATAAAAGGGTAATATACTAATTAGACGGGACGTCCTTCCAGACAAAGCCGGGCAGAGGGAAGCCCGAGTCCCAGGTGCCAGAGGGAAGCTGGTGCCGGCAGCCAGGGGAGGAAGGCCTACTCTTGCACGAATTTCGTGCATCAGGCCTCTAGCAATAATACTAAACACACACAAACAACTGGCAATGGACTGAATAGTCTCCTTTTCAAGATAACCTCTTTACATTGACTTAATTAACCTGCTGGTTGCTTGTACTAGAATGTGGTGCAACCAGTTTTAATAGACCTTTATTTTCTGTTGCCCAATAGAGCAAACCACCTGCCTCTCCCTCTCCCCCCGCCCCGCGATAGTGTAAGAATCATAGTGATCTGGTGCCTCACGTTACAGGTGGGCTCAGACCAGAACCCAGCCGGCAGAGTGAATACTCTTCCTCCCAGACGGTTCCTCCAGCCGCACCCCTCCTGCCTCAAGAATCCTCCCAGCCACCACATAGCAATGAAGGTGAGGAACCAATCTCAGCAGGCGATCCAAAGAAAGATAGGTATTTTTAGCCCCGAGGCCAAAAGGCGGAGGGAGGCTTTACTGCCCAGTTTGCAAAGAAATAAAAAATGTTAATTTATTACCCTTTTCTTGAAGCCTGCCGCCCCACCCCTGCCCTCCCAGGCCCGGAAGGATTGCCAATACAGCCATCTTTCTGATTCCGCGCCCACCTCTGACCGGCCACCCCCGCACTCCTCGAGATGTGGCCGCCCTCGGGGCCCCCCAATCGCGCTTTTCCGAGGCTCGGGTCGGGCCGGA